AACACGAGGAGGATTACGATTTCGATCGGTATGACGACGACGACGACGACGAAACGAAAGGATTACATCGACGAACCCCATGAGAATTTCGTCGACGGAGACGGTCACGGGAGAACGACCCCATTCTCGTGTTGTCTCCGAAAAAAAGAGAGCTTGTCGTGACCCGACGCGATAAGGAGACCAGAGAAACGAAGAGGTAGAGCAGGATATAATGGCCAGAACGAAATCGTATTAGGGCACCGAGGGAACGTTCGCCTCGGTTTTTATCGAGCCGGATACACCTCGTTTTCTGTCTGTTGGTTACACCACTACAAGGCCACGCGTACGTGACACCCAGGCTGGAAAATTAGGTAGGCACGATTTTTAGTACGGCCACCCTGCACGCCTAGGGTGATTTACAGCTGTCTCGGTAAAGTTATCGTTGGAACAGTGTCTAGTAGGTTGTTCTAAGGGGCAAGTCTTTCCGAATGGATACTTATGAAGTGCTTGACTCTTTTTTTAAACCACCGTTCAGGTAGGTATTTCGAAGATTTATGTTAATTCTGGGGAATCTTATAACCCCAGAGCGTTTCGATGTTATGTTCGAGAAGTGAGAATTGAATGCTCGTAGGGCTTGGAAGATTTAACATTTAACATATCTTTGACAGTGTGGTAAAACGATTTAAAGATATTTCGTTATAGTATATGTTTATCACCTAGATTTCCTGCATTTTTGGTACCAGATATAAAATATATATTTACCACAAATCTACAAACCTACTATTGCGTTACATGTGAAATAAAGTTTATAGTGCCGCTGAAATTTATATTCTCACGCTACACTGTAAAAGAGTTAAAGATTTATTAAGAAGGGTCTCTGTTACGATCGTTAAGTTTTTCCACGAGATCGGTCGTATGGAAAATCGATTAAAACGATGGACAACCCGTGTGAAATGGTCGACACATTTCGCGTTCCCAGAAGACGCTAAGAAGAAATCGATTATCGTAGGCACAAGGTCGATGTGGTTACGTCAGATGAAAGATATCAATTAAGTAGTTTATTGCGCGTGTCCATCGAAAACCAGAGCATCGTGACTTTGTTAATAACCCTTTGATGTCTGGATTTTAGCGTACGATTAATCAAAGCCACTCCTTTGCTTAGTTACCATGTACATTTAATCTTTCCTAATCGGTCACATCTCGACATAATTGAACTATGATACGACGTGTATACGATACATACGACATTTAACTACGTTTTACAACGGCAGAGTTAATCAAAAATTAATTTGACATCACCGTATCAATGTTTGGAATATTTGATTTCCCAGCGAAACATAAAGCCGAAAGAAGTTGGACGAGTTGTGATATCGGGAAAACGAAACCGGTGTGAAAAAATCGACCGGTTGTCGTTCCAGACGGGGAGACGTCGACGCCAATAAAGGAAATGCGGGGACCATTAGCAGAACACGATTAAACGGAATATGTAATGGTTTAATACGCGCTACATTAACTCGTACGGCCGTATTCCGCAAGAGGTAGTTCAGTTGGATTCCACTGCGGTCGGTCAACGTGGTTTCAAGCGTCTCAATGAACCAGCAGTGAATTAAAACGTTGATTCGCCGTATGTACGGCTGACCATGGAATTCGTCACCTCGAGAACGATTGCCCTCTCGATTTAACCATTCATGGACGCCTCGGTTCGAGCGCACGCATCGATACCTTTGAACTTGCACGTAGCTCATTTATCGTCGTTTATAAAACCGACCGATGAATTCTTCTTGTTATCCTACTTCTATCGATCGTACCGTTTCAGAGTTCGAAGACCAGTGGTGAAGCGATGGGATCAAGTTCAATACGTGGTTATAAATTCGAATGAGATACTCAAAGTTCACTTTGTGGCAATGAGACACAATGAATCGAGTTTCGGCTAGAAAATTCAAAGAAAACAGCAGGTAAAAAGTATATGACGTAAAAAAAAAAAAATATATATATATATATGGTAGTTTTTAATATGAAGTTTAAATTTAATTCATATTTTTTAGTCAAATTCGACCATTGTTCCTACAAATTGGCCAAAGTATCCGAATACTTACAAATGTCAGTGTACATACCAGTGAACGTGTTCGTGGAATGTGCCGCTTTCAACGATATTTATCTCAGTGATACACTTGTATTACACGCAAGTGTATTCTTCATTTTCCTCACGCAGGCTTGTAAGAAGAGTCAAAAGAATGTAAAGCTTAATTGTACGAATTGTTCCCCTTCGTGTAGAGGGAAAAGATGAAAGAGGAATTCAGGTTGTTACGTGGAACGGAGTTCGAAGGAAGCTAGAAGGAATTGGAAAGAGGCGAGTGGTGAGGCACGCGTCTGGGCGTTCCAGACGGTAGCTACATCACTGAGTGTTCCAACGTGCACGGGAGCAAAGGAACATCGCCGGTAGTAGCAGGCCGGTCTGAATTGAGCAATTTTCTCCAGGCGATATCCGTCACAATATGCTTGATACGTGAATAGGATCCCGGGTCCCGGAGCCGCTCACAAATCAATCTTACCACCGTTGAATGTTGCACCGCTTTGTTGTCAATCGCGAAACGTTCAGAATGTCGCGTTCATTGCGGCCAGACAGTGGTGGTTGCTGTTTGCAGTCGGCTAGTTCGTTTCGCCCTGGTCGTTCTTGCACTGAGAACGCGCACGTGCGGTCCGAACAATAAACGATCGCCTTTCTAAGGTCGCACGGTGCACTGTTGGCCGGTACTTTTCTGTCTTCGCTACGGATCTACATAAAACATAATAGGGGTGTAACGCTTGCGTTAGATCAAGTTATTATTGGTAGTACGGTGCTGCGTTTCCAGACCGATCGTGAACACTGAAAATGACATTTGAAAACTTACCTATGGCAATTATTAAGTGGACGGCCTCTGTTAACCGTGTATCTATCAAGCCATGCTTTTGTAATTTCTTTTTTTTTCTCTCTCTCTCTCTCTCTCATTACTTTACAACACGGTTATGTAATTTTTATCGCGGCAATTAACCGAGCAATTCATAAAACCGATCATCCAGCCCGATCGGATACGAGGACGAAAGGGTAAAGTGGCGAGAGCCGTGGAATGTGCGCGGAGGAAATGCCTTGTAATAAAACGCGATGTCACGTGACGCGGTCTATGTCCCGGAGAACGCTTCAGGAAATTCGCGCCGCTCGACGCGTCGAGAGAAGAATAGAGTGAATAACTGGCAAACCGTGTAGAACGATATCCAACTTACGACGAGTGCGGAATCTGTCGCTATCCTACAAGTAATTTTACGATATGTTGCGTGATTTGTACAAAAGTGTCTCAATTTCGTTCCGAGAAGATCTTCGATGCTTCAACAAAATTCGCAGATTACATTTATTCGTTATCTACATTCTTTTTTTTTCTTTTTGGTATTAAAAATTGTTGGCCAACACCAAATAACGAACGCGGAGAATTACGAAGGCTATAAAGTTACGAAGCGTAGAAGGCAGACGAGTGCCGGTGCAACGGATGTAATTGAGAAAACAGACGATTCCCATGGAGAGAGAGGAGACCTCGGCAAAACGAACAGCGAGGCGATTAGAATTACAGGCTTAATCCTGAACGATCTGCAAGCCTGTCGCCGAATACGGTAGGAGGTGAATAAGACGGGTATACACATTCGTCACTCAGCAAGCGTCCCGCGGTATAAGTCGTAGGCCCCTCCCAAGTCGGCCGTCGGTCTCCCTTCCCGAACTTCGGTTCGAGCACGGAAGCCCAAATAAGGGGAAATATACGGCGAATTAAGGTTCCCCTCCTCTTCTGTTTCGCCTCACTAGAGGCGCCGGCTTCAGCCTCGGTCACGTGGCGCCCGACACAACCGGCAGAAATTGATCCTCCCGATAGGAGGAAATTAGAGACAACAATTGGCCGGCTCGTAATTATGCCCGTCGATATTACAATGAACTTCGTTAAAAGAAACGTACTCGATGCTTGCATCTTCTCCTGAAAGATTACCCGTGCAATATAAATGTACAATTTATATAATATAACGAGTATAATACTTACGTATATTAAATATATTAAATATGTAAGTAGATGCACTATATAAGTACGGTATACAAGTAAATGCGATTATATACACGATTTTAATGAAACAACAGGTATATGTACGTACCGCGTGATTCAGAATCAAATTGACCGGCGAGTCGATCGGATGATTGGTGGACGATCGAAGAAAAATCGATGGCGCGAGATCGAGGGGAAAAAAAAGTCGGCGCCCACGCCTGGAAGTGATCGGTCGAAGATCTCTGGCGATCTCTCGAAACGGCGTCCTCTCGAACGCTTCTCGATGGGAGGAGCTGGTCGGTCGCGGATTTTAATGGCGGATTTTTGCGACTCGCCAATCGCACACGACACGAGACACCGTCCTCCGTTTCTCGCTCCGTGATTCAACGATTCGACGATTTCACCGCGAAGAGAGGAGAGATATACATCGTGGCGAGTTACGTGATTTGATTTGAGGAGAGCTCCTCGAAGCGAGCGCGCGTGGGACACGCGCTCTGCCTTGTCGCGTGCCTCGCCACGTTCGCGCTGGTTCTCAACTTGCATCTCGATACTCGATATCTTCGATTAGTCGCCACCACTGGCGCGCTAAACTTTCGCGCCATTATTATGGCCGTTTCATTACCGCACGTGTTTTGATACGAGGATTACAGGGGGAAAGTACGATAGGTGTAATTTCGTCAATTCTCTGGTTTTGACATTATTTAATGACTGTAAAAGTAATATTTCAATGTGACGTAACTCGAAAGAGCAAATTTTATAAAATAACAGCTTTGGTAATGTATGTTCGGTTGGCAACACGTTGTTTGTTTTGAGGTAAGTTGAGTGGAAAGTAAAAATTCTCATGAAATTATTATATTTTACATTCTGGTAGGGATTAATCAACTACACGTTTAAGAGTTATGATTTTATAGAGCTATTAAATATCCCTGGATAAATGATGAATAGTTAAAATCGTCCAATGGCGTAACCTACTTTATAGGTTATGAGTCGGTGTGTACATTGAAAAAGCGCAATGTTCTAACGGAACATAAACCCGCGGGAGATTTTCTACGGAGTTTGGCGTGTAATACGAGAGCCCTCGTATCGTTTCGACACTCGAATGATATCATCGCCCGCAGGAGCGGATTCAGTCATTTGTGGCAAGTCGCGTTCATCTCCTTCGTGACGCGGTAAGTGCTTCTGAGGTACAACTTGCAAATCATCTAATGTTATGACATTTGAAAGTAATCGAAGTACATTTGCCTCGTAACGTGAAGCGTGTTTCTCCGTGCCGCTTTCAATGTATAAAGTTAAGGTTGAAAGAGTGATTTCGTAATGATACAACTGCTTACGTTTTCATTGAAACTGAAAATTACACGTGACTCTGAAAGAAATGCCATTTGAAAAAAAATTCTTGAATTACAACACCGACATGTTGGATTGTTTAACTTAACCTAAACCTAACTTAACCTGAACCTTGCACTCGAAATGGCAAATACATCGATTTTTCCCTACGAATGTTCAATTTACGAAATTATCGAACATGAACATTATGTATTTAAACATATCTTTTTCCTCAAAGACATTTATATTTACGTAACGAATTAATTAAACCTAACCTAACCTGAACCTTGCACTCGAAATGGCAAATACATCGATTTTTCCCTACGAATGTTCAATTTACGAAATTATTGAACACGAACACTATGTATTTAAACATATCTTTTTCCTCGAAGACATTTATACTTATGTAACGAATTAATTAAAATCTTTTCGGATAGGTATTGTATACGAGTAGACGAGAAATTCATAAAACATTTCATTCTAGGAAAAGATGTATCAACTTCAATGAATCTACAACGAGATTCTATAACTTTATCAATTAATCGTCGAAAACTAATCTGTTTCAAAGGAATGGTATCAAATTATGAAATGTAAATGTACAGTAATAAATTGACAAATGATTGACTGATAGTTCTTATTCATTGCAAACAGGTAATCTTGAACTTCTTTCTCGTAGATCCGGTTTTTATCCCTTAAGCGCATAAAAGGAGAACTTAAAATATTTTTCAGCGAGAATATCACCTTCAATATATTGAAAGAAAATTTGGATCACGCCAATTATTGGACCAAGCAAATTATTCAGCGATATCCAGATTATAAAGTAGCTCTGTGGAACGTGTAGAAATTAATGGCGTAGGAATCGAGATAGCATAGGTACTTGGATGCCTACCGTCGGAGAACAAGGAGAAAGGTACGCGGATAAATTGCCTATGCCGTTTACAGGCGAGTCGGGCCTGAGAACAGCCTAATTACCGCGTTTACGCACTGTGTAACATGCACGAAGTATCGTTCGATCACCGTGGACAAATTGGACACGCGTGATGTTTTCATTTTCATGAAACAACGCAAAAACGGATCAGACGGAAACGGACGGAGGTTTACGAATCTTTGAAACAAAAGGTCGTTCATCACGAATTTGAAAATACCGGAAAGATGAAGTGAAAGCTCAAGAACTTGAAAGTTCAAAGCTCTCAGAGTTCTATTCGAAGCATCGGAGATTTTTTTTGCAGGGATGGTTGTAAAACGATGTGAAAACCGTTTCGTTAAAGCCTCGTGCAACGACGTAACATTCCGAGTATTCTGAAAATGTAAATGCAACAATTGAGACACAGGCTAACAATTGAATCCAATTTGTACGAGTCGTTCGCTGATGATGTTGACCACGTAGACGCGTTGGACGCGCGCGGAATTTTGCAAGATCTTGAATTAATATAGGTTAGTGATGCGTAATTAGAGGCTGACCGATCGTTTGTGGCTACGCTGTGCGGTGTAACGCCGTAAATTATATTCAAGATCTTAACTGACACGTTAACTGACCGCGTAACGTTTCGATTTACTTATCAGGAAGCGATTAACGATGTGGCACACAGGTTATAAATATTCACGATTACGAAAGCGAGCGCGCAAAAACATTGAAAGGAAAATTTGCATAGCTTTTCCCTATGATATATTCCCACCTAATTCGCTGAGAGAGATACATTAGATAAAAATACAAGATCCTGCTGCAAAATCAAAAATGTAAACAAAAATTTTCGAGCATGTAAAAGAATAGACTTCCTTCAGGAATTTATTTCGAAGGAACTACTGATTTAATTGCTATTTATCACAAAGGTGATGCATCGTATATTATTTAAAA